CACGTTATAGCAGGATGAAAACTAATCATAATCTAAACGGTTTAGGCATGGATAAAATGACCAGAAATATATGCAGGTTTTGGGAACAATTTTTTTGTTACTGTGACAGCTTCCCCACCTTGTTTTGGCAGCAAAATGATTTTCACATTAAAATTAATGACCTTAACCTGTAAAAAGCCTTTAATGATAACGCAAGTGGTTAAAATTCACCAAAGAACATTAAATGAGCACTGAGGCTATGTTCACACAAATCCAGGCATTTTTGAAAACGCATATTTCTATCCGGATTTGTGACCGCTCTGCTGGAAAGTGATTTCCAAACAATTCGGTTTCGGTGTCCGGATTCTTTAGGGAGCTTAAGCAACGCGCCGGACGACGGCGACGGCAATCAGAACGGCAAACTGCAAAAGGTTTAGATAAGCAAAACAACAACTTTGCATGTGCATCACGCTTGTTAGTACATTCCTTTGCCGTCGTTGCACGACTACGACTTAAAAGTGCCCAATTCTTTAACGTTTTGTGGAGGACGTAAACACAAGACATCGATTTTCTTTTTCTCTTCCTGAACTTCGATCGATCCAGTCCTTTAGAACTCATCTTCAGAAAAAGTCGCCAACATTTGTAGGATTGAACTAGGCGAAATAGACGCAGTTAAGTTTGAAACTGAGCCCAAATTCACTTTTTAGTTGACCTTTAAGCCCTAAGAGTGATCAGCATCATATTTCTCCTTGTAATATCAATCCTTTTTAAGACAGAGTGGTCATAAGAATTACGGACATGATCACACGAGATGAATTTACTTGATATTTTATCAACTTCTCCCTACTTCTTCTGTAGGAAATGAATAGGGGTAACGAATGAGAATTCAAACTTTGATCTTAGAGTTTAAAGGGTTAAGCTCGAGTGGTCGGAAGGCCGTTTCGTGTCTGAAAGGAAAGCGGTTTCAAAAATTTAGGAATCTTTGTGGACGTAGCCTAAACGATACCAAAGAAATGTACTTCTGAATTGTCAAATAGGACCTCATACATAAACGCAAAATGTAGAACCATTGTTACCCTTCAGTAACAGAACCGGTTAAACCCTATCTAGGTTGCGTTCTATTGGGAAATCCGGAGTTCGGATTTTGCAGTCGAAAACGAAATCCAAAAACGGATTTCACCTCCGAGAAATCCGTCCTCAGGGTGGATTTCAATTAAGAAATCCAAATCTGGATTTCATGGATTTCCTTTTTGCCGTTCGATGGGAAATCCGAAAAAGGATTTGAAAAACTGTTCTCGTGAACTGCGGTGTTCTTCTTGTTACTTATGCATGCGCGTGCAAGACCGCTGTTCTCAGCGTTAAAATCCGTTTTTGAATTTCGCGTTCGATTGCAAATCCGAAATCCGGATTTCAAAATCTAAATCCAGATTTCCCAATCAAAGGCACCCGTACTAAAAAATTAGAACCGATCCAAACGAATCCGGACATTTTAAGTCCGTTTCATTTTTTATACCCGGATTTGTTTGGACGGCGCCTTACACTACCCTGGAGAGCCGTTTGAAAAAGATGCGGTTTTGGTGAGCGGATTCATTGGTTTCGTGTGAACCGAAGGCTGATTCAGGTGAAAAAAACCCCTCGGTTTCAGAAATATCCGGGTCCTGTGAACGTGGCCTTAGCCTTTCTGGCCCCTGGGTCCGGTTCCTGAAGGCCGATTAGCGCTAATCCAGGATTAAAATTTTGTTCCGTTTTTGTATTTTACCTTCCTGTGTGTTGCTTAGAGTAACATTTTGTGTAATTATTACTGTATCTCCACTCGAGACGCATGTTCTTAGACAACAAAACCTTGCTTAAAATTTGGTTTAATCCTGGGTTAAACTTAACCATCTTTTGAGGAACCGGGCCCTTGCTAATATTTTGCTTCTACCCGGCTTTTTCTTTGCGTCCCTGGTCTCCATCTGATGTGAATTTTAAATATTCGGGTTATAGAATTCACAAATGGGTTCAAATATGTCAAAGAAAAAAAAAACGGAAATCACAGCTTTCGTCTTGAATAATTATCGTCCCATTTTATAGGCATCAGAACTGCATTCTTGATGTGAACGGAACTGTATTGAATTAACTAATGCAAGTCAAAGTGAAGAGGAGTCGTCCGCGATAGATCAATGACATTCCAGAACAAGTTCCACATTCAACTTTAGCAGGCAAAGATAACATAAATTGCAGCTAATTAACTGATTTATTGAGAAGACTTTGTCTTTATACCGAGAAACACAGCACATTAAATCATATGATGCACTTTAAGTGCTTAAAAAATTCATCCAACCATTCATTTTCATGCCGGTACTTTTCTTGTATGAGAGAGACAATATAAATTTCTTCGTCCGTGTTCAAAAAAACTAACAAAAAAACAGTAAGATATCTAACTTTTTTTGCGAGCAAGCCATTACTAAGTTGGGACCCCTAATTTGTAACAATTAAAATCAAACCAATTTGAAGTTAAACAGCTTTCAATGTAAAAAGCTATTACGTATCCTGTTGTTTAAAATTCAAGCAAATTTATCTTCTTTTCCCATGGTTAAGACAGTTTGCTTCGTCGTCACCTTTTTTGGAACATATCTTATGAACAGGGTATAACCTATGCAAATATCCCAGTCAGCCATAGAATAAGCGCCAACCTACTTAAATAAAAATATCTACTCTTTTTAAATAATAATAAACTTCACATTGACTTTTGCAGGTTCCTACAAAAAGCCCTTACTTATTTATAACGCCATCTATCTTTTTTATAAAGCGCTTAAGCTTAAAAATAGCCTAGACAAAACCACTTAAATTTTACCATTCAAATTTCTGAAATATTTTCAGGATACTTCCTTTTATCAACACCTGTACATAACAGCGCTGAAGCTTTCCGATCTTTAAGCACACAGGTCACGGGTAAACAACGTCATGTCCTCATTTACTCAACAAAATGCCAACATCCGAATTATACTGAAATGGCACGAAGCTAACAACGTTTCTCTGTAAAAACACCTCGTCGCACGCCATTGAATGACGAAAGGCTTGTTGATAGCAATTTTACAAATAGAATTCAATGTATTCGAAACTGAAGAATTTTTAGAAGTATTTCTCTAAACTGCCCAAAAGAAGCTATTAGGCTGATTTAGCAACAGAACGGGAACGTCACTTGACGACGGGAAAGCTCGCGGAAAGGACTGGACGGGACTTTTGGCTCTCAATTTGCCGCCCTGTCATTGGTCAAGAGTCAATATGTCCACACGATATTGGACCAATCATGGGAGCTCTTACATAGAGAAGTCCACCTGTGAGATGCCCACTTCACTACTGTGTAGACACAAACCGATGTCCACCTTTAAAGGATGCAGTCTTTTAGTCGATGTCCATTGGTCGTGGTTATCCAAATGATCCATATACGATAGACTTTTAGCGGAAAGCGCCTTGTGTCATCTTCTGGACATCGCCGCTTTGAATTGACGTCTACTTTTTATTTGCTTATAGAGTTAGACAAAATGCGCTGTTAATCACCTTACAAGGTCACATGATCTTACAATTATCCTTATCGCACCTTTCCTTTCCCTTTGTGTCTTCCCCAGGATCGGAATCAATTGGTACAACACAACTATTTTCATTCTGTGCTGTTTCACTTCTGTTCTCGCTACAGCTACCCACACCGTCACCAACTCTGTGTTGATAGCTGTGTCCGACAAATCTCGTTGTTTGCTTTGATTCTGTTATCTGCCTCTGATCTTGGTTACCAAAACATCACCGTCGGGAAAGGAGTCACCTCTCACACATATTTCTTTTCTGTGTTGCGCTTCTCTCGACGAACTTCCCCTTGAAGGTGCGGTTGAATTCTTGAATTCACCAGTTGCATTAGATGCTGCCGCAAAAGTGTGATCTGGTGGCGGCCCCGAAATACTACACTGTCCAAGTAGTCTATTGCTTAGTTCATCAGCTCTATTTGTAGGTGGAATGGTATTCCTTGCTAAAGGCAGTTTGATGTTATCTAACGCAAAAGAAAATATGATAAGCCGATTCCAAAATTAGTTTGTTTGCTCCCCGCCCGTAGAAATTTTGCTGCAGTGGAACCTAGACATAACGAACGGCCAAGGGACCGGCAAAATTGGTTCGCTACACAGAGGTTTCGTTATATCGAGGTTTTTTTTTCATATATTTTACTATTACGGATCATTATAAGTTTATTGGAAACTGCCCACCTACCTCTACCCTAAGCCAACATTAAAACTTACTTCTCACTTGGGGCAGAATGTTGGCTTAAGGGAGGGGTAGGTGGACAGTTCCACTATAGCTGATACTGGGGTAATAAGCCACGCACGCAGACGTTCTAAGGACTTCGTCACGAGTTCCACCGGATGAAGAAGCGCTAAGAACATCTACGTAGGAGGTTACCTCCTAAAGAATAGCCTGCGTGTCGGGGAGAAAAGGGGAGAGAGAGGGGGAGAAAAGCACAAAAGGGAAAAAAGAAGGTGCCTCTCTCCCCAATCCCCCTCCATTTTCGACACCTGCTACGCATGCTAGGCTATGAACGGTCTGCTACCACATTAAAGGTAGGCTTACTCACCCCAAACCCTGTGCAAAGAATGCTCGTCTAATATCACAGTATTGCCAAAAAAATACATCGAAGAGATGACCCTCTAAGATGTTGTACTAACTTTCACAACGGTGTAAAGTACCCAGACAAGTGAACAAGGCTTACCTGAAGGTCCCTGCATTGCTGACGAAGCTGAAGCAGTTTTCTTTTCATCTCTAAATGTACGCTGCTTCTGTAAATCACCAGTTGCTCTACTTGCCTCAGACGCTTTTCTGTGGTTTAACGTTTTCCCAATTCCAGACAGTGGTGTGCATCTCTCTGAACTGTTACGGTTTACTGAACGTTCAATACTTGACAAGGCGGCATCCTGACTACCTGCGGTAGTTGCTGTAGTTTCAGTGCGAGAAGTGCAAACAGCCCTTTCTAATTCACCCAATTCCGGTTTTTTATTTTATTCAGGGATCGGATATGGCAATCTCCCAGGGCTATCAGCAGCGTCACTTGAATTTTGCGTGGGAGTTCTAGGATGATTACTTTCAGTCACAGGGTAGGACAATGTTCCAAGACCCTTGACAGCACTTTCCTTTCCCGAGATGGATCGCCCACTGCCTTCTTCAGAAACACACACGGGTAATTTTTCAGAGACGATAACATCGGCTGAGTTTCCAGGGAGACTTCCTGAGTTTTTTGTCTCTAGAACAGGACTAGACAATGCTACGCAAGAACCAGTCGCAACTGTAATCTGCTCGGAAGACCCTTCACTGCCTGCTTCAGAAACGCTCACAGGTGATTTTTCAGGGGTAGTAACGTCGGTTGAATCTTGAGGGGGAGTTCCTGAGTTTTTTGTCTCCGGAACAGGACTGCCAGACAATGCACCGCGAGAACCACTAGCAACTGCAATCTGCTCGGACGATCCTACAATGCCCACTTCAGGAACCGCCGTAGTTATTTCAGGGGTATTTGAGATATTTTCACTTTCTGTAGGGTTTCCTGAGCTAGCAGTCACGGGGTTTGTACCACTCCTACTCTCCGGAAACCCAAATGGAGATTCGATACTTTCTGCAGTACTTGGAGTTCTGAAAGATATAAGCAAGTGAACAGAATGCGTGACTACATAAAAGCCGTTATGACAAGCTCCCTTTTTTACGATTGTTAAGTCGGAGGTTGTGAGCAAGAACTATACAGCGTTTTCACGGACCGGCTTGTCTTTAGATGGAATTTTAAAGCAGTTTTTCCGCGAAATTGCAAGCTGCACTCTTTCTAAAAACGCATTCATTTGAAGTATATAAGGTATGAATATGGAAAACAAAGCGTCATTTAAAGGTAAAAAAAGAAACATTTTCAGCTGACCTGTATGAGTCATATTCTCAATTCGCGTCACAATCGTTCTGAAATATACGTCGTGACACAAGTACATGGACGTTGCTCGATCCTTTTTATGGGCTCCTGCTATGGACCTGCAGGGTCCTTTAGCGATTACAGTATTAAAGAACAGTTTCTTATAATCTACGAACGTAGCGCAACGGTTATTAAACAATAAATAATATTTGGTATACGTCACCTTTGTGTTGCTGTTCCCACATTGGTTACACTGTGGTCACCAATACTGGCATATCCACCAGACATGTTGATACTGTAGCTACTTTCACCAGTGTAAGGAAGCTGGGGCTGAACACTTAACACAAGAACAAATCAAAATTTACATTCTCATGCGTTTTCTTTGAGTGCCCGAATCTTTCTGCTCGTGTAACCGCCATATTGAGAAAAACGTCGAAGAGTTGGGGAAAGTCAAAGCGGGCAGGAAGGATGGGAGAATTCTTTCTCCCCTCGCTCCTCTTCTTCTTTCCTCGTCCCTCTATTCATGCTCACCACAATATCCCTATGTTGAACATTGTACATGGTGGCCACAGGGATACGAATATAAACAAGGCTGCTTTCACCTGCTCAAAAATACGCCAGCATCGCAGACTATAGTTTGTACCACAAGTTGCATTCAGTGAAAAGAAAGGAGCGTGTGATCTGGTGGCGGCCCCGAAATACTACACTGTCCAAGTAGTCTATTGCTTAGTTCATCAGCTCTATTTGTAGGTGGAATGGTATTCCTTGCTAAAGGCAGTTTGATGTTATCTAACGCAAAAGAAAATATGATAAGCCGATTCCAAAATTAGTTTGTTTGCTCCCCGCCCGTAGAAATTTTGCTGCAGTGGAACCTAGACATAACGAACGGCCAAGGGACCGGCAAAATTGGTTCGCTACACAGAGGTTTCGTTATATCGAGGTTTTTTTTTCATATATTTTACTATTACGGATCATTATAAGTTTATTGGAAACTGCCCACCTACCTCTACCCTAAGCCAACATTAAAACTTACTTCTCACTTGGGGCAGAATGTTGGCTTAAGGGAGGGGTAGGTGGACAGTTCCACTATAGCTGATACTGGGGTAATAAGCCACGCACGCAGACGTTCTAAGGACTTCGTCACGAGTTCCACCGGATGAAGAAGCGCTAAGAACATCTACGTAGGAGGTTACCTCCTAAAGAATAGCCTGCGTGTCGGGGAGAAAAGGGGAGAGAGAGGGGGAGAAAAGCACAAAAGGGAAAAAAGAAGGTGCCTCTCTCCCCAATCCCCCTCCATTTTCGACACCTGCTACGCATGCTAGGCTATGAACGGTCTGCTACCACATTAAAGGTAGGCTTACTCACCCCAAACCCTGTGCAAAGAATGCTCGTCTAATATCACAGTATTGCCAAAAAAATACATCGAAGAGATGACCCTCTAAGATGTTGTACTAACTTTCACAACGGTGTAAAGTACCCAGACAAGTGAACAAGGCTTACCTGAAGGTCCCTGCATTGCTGACGAAGCTGAAGCAGTTTTCTTTTCATCTCTAAATGTACGCTGCTTCTGTAAATCACCAGTTGCTCTACTTGCCTCAGACGCTTTTCTGTGGTTTAACGTTTTCCCAATTCCAGACAGTGGTGTGCATCTCTCTGAACTGTTACGGTTTACTGAACGTTCAATACTTGACAAGGCGGCATCCTGACTACCTGCGGTAGTTGCTGTAGTTTCAGTGCGAGAAGTGCAAACAGCCCTTTCTAATTCACCCAATTCCGGTTTTTTATTTTATTCAGGGATCGGATATGGCAATCTCCCAGGGCTATCAGCAGCGTCACTTGAATTTTGCGTGGGAGTTCTAGGATGATTACTTTCAGTCACAGGGTAGGACAATGTTCCAAGACCCTTGACAGCACTTTCCTTTCCCGAGATGGATCGCCCACTGCCTTCTTCAGAAACACACACGGGTAATTTTTCAGAGACGATAACATCGGCTGAGTTTCCAGGGAGACTTCCTGAGTTTTTTGTCTCTAGAACAGGACTAGACAATGCTACGCAAGAACCAGTCGCAACTGTAATCTGCTCGGAAGACCCTTCACTGCCTGCTTCAGAAACGCTCACAGGTGATTTTTCAGGGGTAGTAACGTCGGTTGAATCTTGAGGGGGAGTTCCTGAGTTTTTTGTCTCCGGAACAGGACTGCCAGACAATGCACCGCGAGAACCACTAGCAACTGCAATCTGCTCGGACGATCCTACAATGCCCACTTCAGGAACCGCCGTAGTTATTTCAGGGGTATTTGAGATATTTTCACTTTCTGTAGGGTTTCCTGAGCTAGCAGTCACGGGGTTTGTACCACTCCTACTCTCCGGAAACCCAAATGGAGATTCGATACTTTCTGCAGTACTTGGAGTTC